CACGACTCAGAAATGGATATAATATCGTAATTATTAACACACACATTTCTATAAAAACAACTTACCTTTGTACGCAATCCCCTTGCATTTTGGTAATAGATCCTTAAAGCATACACTTTTCATTAAAACTATATAACTGTTTAAAATTAACTTACCAGCACTATAACTTAGTAGAAATGAACAAATACATAAATTAAATCCGCTCATCAAAAAATAACTTGTAAATAAGTTATTCACGACTTCGTACCAATCATAAAAAATAATAAAACAACATAGGTAGTGTAATAAAAAATGACTGGGTATACCTCCGCAAGCATCTATGCACTGAACGACACAAATAACTCTAAACATAAAAACCAACAGCGGATAAATTGAATGTAGTGTATTCAATTCAGCAATACAAAGGCGATACCTGTTAATGACTTCACCAACTGAGCTATATAAAAGATCATAAGCGACAAGTATCGATAAGCAATTATAAGCTCTCATGCAATGAACTTAATGCGGTGTTTTATAAAGCTATGATCGACTTCGCAGCCACAGCGACAAACAGAGTCGGAACTCGTTTTGTGTGTACGACACAATATTAGTTGGAATACAGTTGCAGCACAAGTAATTGTTATGATGCTCAAACTTTGCAATATTGAAATTTTACACACAAATTGTTTTGAATTTGGAAAAAAGTTAGTGATTGCTGCGCTCACACAAAATTTGAATAAATAATAACTAAAAATATTTTTGAATAAAAAAAAATTACAAATATTGAAAAAATAGTGGGCATGGCGACTATGTTATAAAAATATTTTCTTGTAACAATAATTAAACTAATTATAAAATATAAGCGAAAGCATAACAATGGAATGGATACGAAGCAACAAGCAATACTTAGGCCACCAGTGACTAAATAATTTTCACTAAATCCTTTGGTGATTTGATTTGTATCACTGGGGAGTTGTCGTTTTTTCGCACGTATATTTTTGCATGTTTCACCCAAGAATAGCGAAATCCCTTTTCTTTGGCTAAATTCTTCACTTTGGTGAGAAGATCATTGTTAGTCGGCGTCAGGTGGTCATTAATATAAATTACGTTATTTGAATTGAAGCCCATCATATTTTCCTTAAGCTTCTCTTCCTTTATCTTGGCTCTCGCTGCCGCAACAAAGTCTTATTTTACGTATCGATTGATAAACGCCACAATTATTGGTTTAGGTTGGGTAGTATCTTTGCTCGGAATCCTGGCTACAAAATTTATTTGCGTTTTATTTATGGGATAGTTAATCGTAGACCCAATCAAGCTAACGACATCCAGCAAATTTTCTTTTGGAGAATGAGGAACACCTTTTATCTCAGCGTTGTTCAAACGTAACCATTGATCTTTCTCATTAGCCTCCTGTTTTAGTCTATTTAAGTCCGCTTCAATAATTGTCACTCGATCTTCCATTCCCTCCACCCGTGTAAGACGTTCTTCAAACTTCTCAAATTTATCGTTAAATTCTTTTAAGCAGGTATTTGTCAGAGTCCGAGGAGATCGCGGCCATCAGGACCGCGACCATGCGGGCCCGAAGGGCAGTGATGCGCAGCAGGCGCCGCAGAAGGCGAGACGAAGCGGAGGAGGAACGGTTGTGGCAAATCTACCGGGGGATGAAGGAAAACCTTAAGGTGGCCATCGCCAAAGCCAAGGACGAGGCCTGGAAGGAGTTCCTTGGGGAGTTGGACCGGGACCCGTGGGGCAGACCATATAAGGTGGTCAGAAAGGGCATGGGTCAACAGTCCCTACAGCTGGAGGACATGGACCCTGACCTCCTGGCGCGGACGGTGTCCGAACTCTTGTGCTGCCACCGGAAGATGGGAATGTGGTTGTTGCACCAGCTCCGCCAATTACCGATGCAGAAATGGAGGCGGCCCTCGATCGCATACGGGGCAAGAAAAAGGCTCCTGGCCCGGACGGAGTGCCACGAGGAGTCCTGCCGATTGCCCTTAAGCACCTGGGTGAGCACTTCAGGGCACTACTGAACGAGTGCCTTGACGTGGGTGTGTTCCCCAGTACGTGGAAGAAGGGCAGGCTCTGTCTGCTACGGAAGGAGGGGAGACCTGCGGATCAACCAGCAGGGTACCGTCCGGTAGTGCTGCTGGACGAGGTCGGCAAATTCTTGGAGAGAATCATTGCCGACCGTATCGTCCAACACCTAGAGGAGACTGGGCCAAATCTGGCGCCCTGCCAGTTTGGGTTCCGCAGGGGTAGATCCACAGTGGATGCGGTGCAGGAGCTGAAAAGGATGTCGGAGGAGGCGGCGGGGAGAGGGGAGAGTGTTCTCGCTATATCATTGGATATAGCGAACGCTTTTAACACACTCCCCTTCAGCTGCATCGAAAAGGCCCTGCACTACCACGAGGTCCCCCTGTACATAAGAAGAGTGGTCGGGAACTATCTGCGCGACCGGGAGCTCCTCTACTATGATGCGGGTGGGGAGGTTAAGGTGAGGAGCATGGTATGTGGGGTTCCACAGGGGTCGGTGCTGGGACCGCTCCTCTGGAACCTCGCCTACGACTGGGTCCTCAGGGGGACGCTTTTGCCCCGAACAGCGGTTATCTGCTATGCGGATGATACACTGATAGCTGTTAGGGGCAAAACATACGACGATGTCCGGCGGTTGGGGTCAGCGAGTGCCTCGCTGATAATAAGGAGGATAAGGATGCTGGGGATTAAGGTGGCAGCGGGGAAGACAAGGGCCGTGATTTTTTACAGCTCCAGGGGTAAGCCGCCAGCCGGGGCCTATGTCAAGGTGGACGAAGCCAGAGTGCCAATAGAGTCCACCTTGAAATACTTGGGGTTGGTGCTGGACGCGAAGTGGCGCTTCGACGCCCATTTTAAGCAGCTGGCCCCAAGGCTGATCAGTGCGGCGGCCGCGCTCGGAAGACTGTTGCCGAATGTTGGTGGCCCCAGCGCCAGTTGTCGCAAACTGTACGCTGGGGTCATCAGGAGTATGGCCCTCTATGGGGCGCCCATCTGGGCGGAATGCATAAGCGCGGGGAACAAGGCCCTACTGCAGAGGCCGCAAAGAATAGTGGCGCAAAGGGCTGCGCGAGCGTACTGCACCACATCGTTTGCGGCCGTATGCGCAATGACAGGGTCACCCCCGTGGGCGCTGGAGGCGAAGGCGCTGTCCCGCCTATACTGGCAAAGGGCAGAGGCCCGGCAACGAGGGGAGCGACTGGCGCCAGAGGAGGTGATAGCCCACAGGCGTAGGCTGGACGAACTCGTCATGGAGCAGTGGACCGAGGAGCTGGAGACACAGCAGTTCGGGGTCAGGACCCTGGAGGCGCTGCGGCCAGTGCTGAGTCAATGGAGGGAGAGGAGGCATGGGTCGCTGACCTTCCGTCTGGTGCAGGTGCTGTCAGGGCATGGATGCTTTGGCAGCTACCTGCATCGCATACGGAGGGAAGCGACCTCGTCGTGTCATCATTGTGGCGCTGTCGGGGACACGGCGCAGCACACCCTTGAGGAGTGCCCGTCGTGGTCTCGGCAGCGCCATGATATGGTCATGGCAATAGGAAGGGATCTCTCGTTGCCCAGCGTCGTTAAAGCGATGCTGGACAACGAGAGATCCTGGACTGCGGTAGTCTCCTTCTGCGAGGAAGTCATCCTCCAGAAGGAGACAGCGGAGAGGGCCCGCGAGGAGGACGCCCGGGCCGGCCCTCTCCGCCGCCGACGGCGGGGTGGAAGGCGGCGGCAGTACGACCGCCTCTTTCTACCCTAGTGGGACTAGCGGGCGGCGGACAGGGTGGTCCGCCGTCCGCATTGCACAGTCTCACCCGTCGAGGGGGGATGCCTGGGTGCTCCCGGGCATCCCCCTGACTGCCAGGAGGAGAAGGAACCCCTGCCGGGGGTAACGTGGAGAGTCATCCGGATCCCACGAAACCCGTTCCGGCAGGCGAGGGAGCACTGTTGGGTTTTTAGTGGGTAGGGCCCCCCCTTCATCCCGAACAGCCGCTGAGCCAAGTTGGCTCAGCGGGTGGGCGGGATTTGGGGGGAGGAGGAGTCCCACATAACCCCGTCTCTCACCCAGGGGCGGGGTATGCGTCACGCATTTTCCCAACAATAAAAAAAAAAAAAAAAAAAAAAAAAAAAAAGTATTTGTCAGAGTAACTTGCGATTTCAACTCCGAAATTTCTGCACGCAATGCCCCGACCTCAACTGAAAGGGATTCCAACGGTGCCAACTTTAAGGCTAAGGCTTTAAGTTCCGCCATAATGGATGAATCACTTGTCGGCTGTGGTGATCTTGAGCCTGATTGCTTACATTTATGGCATTTCCAAGCCTGCTTCCTATCAACACCCAGTTTTCTGAAGCCTACTTCAGTTATGCCCGCACACTGGTAATGCAAATCCTGGTCACATGATGAGCAGTGCGCTCCCTCTACAACAGCTTCGTCACACTGACCGCATAAAGACATGGCGAAAGTTTGAGAATATATGGATTTTTTAGATAAGCACACGCGGATTAACCGGTTAACACGACCGTTCACAGACCAGTGCCAGTCGCGACTGGCATATCGCGATATGTTAAAAGGTCTTATTTAAATTGACCCCCAATTATCCGTTGATAAAAAAGTTTCTTGATTATGAAAAACTAACAAGAATATAATATTAATTTGTCTTTCAATAAGAGAACTACGCTCAGTTTGTGGCAAAAAGTGAGTTGTGAGAGAATCAGAGTAATTAGCTAATCGCACCAGTGCCCGTGCCAGGCTGCCAGAGCTTTTTTCGTGGTCATTCTGCCACACACGGGCACACGGCACAAGTCAAATACAGTATAGCGAGTTTCTTCGTCCAAGGTTGGCACCTCAAACGATCCAATATTCGGGTCAGCAAATATTTAAGTAGGTTACCTTATGGTACTTATAATGGTATGGAACTCTATGTATGCGTATCAGACTCTGACTATTTTTATTTATACTGTGATATAAAAAAAAAACTTGCTAAAAGTATTAATGTACTTACTATTTATTAAATTTGGTGAGCTCAATGATGGATCCCCATATTGTAATCTTGAATCTTTAAAAAAATAAACAATAAGTCAATAAACATAAAATACTAAACGACATAAATATTAGCAAAATCAAAACTATAATGCTGCATAAAACTGTACCTCCATTAGGCATCCTTCTGTAAAAAAATGGCATTTGTCTAATATTGGCATTTCCTGCGAAAAATTTTTTTTTAAATAATATGATTATAATGGGTAAAATTCTAAATATCTTAATTATAATGGGGACCTGGGCCAAATTATATGGAATACGTTTTAGGCCAGACTTAAGTAGACTGAATTTGTATACAAAAAACTATTTAAGAAATAGTTACCTCATTAGCTACTAGTTTGGGGACAATTTAACAAATATGATATTCATCTCATTCCATCTTGTAAACTTACCATCAATGCTCATAGGATTATCTAAAAAAAAATTGAAAATTAGACATTTATTGAACTGCGATTCTATTTAGTCTATGTAGGTATATCAGCACTATTATAAGTATAATAAAAATAATAAATGTATAATTTAGGTAGTATGTCGGGTTCAGTACAAGCACGAACTTTAACAGATCCGTATTCGTATCGCCAACGCCAACGGCGTTGACGTTGGCGGTCAATGTCAAAGTTTCTATGGAAACTAAGCAGCAGCGCCACTACCTTTCCATAGAAAATTTGACATTACGTAGAATACTTTCTCGCTAACTAGCGTTTTTAGTCTAGGTTGTTGCATTGCTACTATAAAACCCATTCTACGTCCATGGCGAGCCTGTTTGCGCAAACTCTTGTGCAGTACACACTGGCGCTGATCAGTTTTTAAATTTCAATAATTTAAATTATAAAAATTATATTATATTATAAATAATTTCAATAATTAAAATTATAAAAATCAGAAATAAATTATTCAATAATTATGAATGTGTCATCAAAGCGGGCCTTCTTTAGTTTTGTTGATATCCGGTCAGCCTCATGCCGTCGGTGATTACTTAGCCCACACAACTTAAACAAACAGTCTTTTAAAAAACTCACAAAAAATATGCCATTTCAACACGATTTTACAAAAATACCAAACCTAATTTTCCAAGAATTCTTAAGGGGCTGTGTTTGGAGAATATTGAAGATATACCTGGCAACCCATTAATTGAATTTTTATTTTCTCTGTATTAATTATTTTTACCGATACGTACCGAAATAATAGTAATAATCCCTGGGTAGCATACGCCTATATCCACCTGCAGTAGAAACAGTTGTATGATTACCGATATAAATATAATAAAAACCTGTAAAAACTGCGTGAGTGTCGTGGATATCGGTTGGAACGAAGTTAACAATATTTATATATTGACACTGGACAATCCACACTGTGCACGCGTGGCGAGTAATGGCCAATCCAATCTCTATATTCCATAAAAAAGTATCCTACCCACCAATCCGCACTGGAGCTGTGTAGTGGGTTATGGTTCGATCCCCCGGTTCCATCAAAATATTAAACAAAACTTTAAACCAAGTCCACCGCCGTCAGTGGTCGCCCACCTTTTTTTTTCAACTTTTCGCCTAGCTCCCATCCGCCATACCGTCCGAAATGGAACTTCGTTCCAATATAACTTTAAAAGTAAAAATATGTTGGAGAATTGTAATGAAACCGAAATCCTTACTAAAATAATAATTAAAATTACGGCAAACGAGAAGCGATACAAAATATAAACTAAATCGATGAAAGGACATTAACCAATGCAGGGGTTGTCCATTTTTTTTATAATAACATTATATTCATGAAAATTAATATAATAGGACCTTTATCATTTTACAAGGCATGTATATTTTTTTTCAAATCAAATGGAGAAAACAATAATTCAAATTATCAAAACAGAAAATCAAAACAGTTCAAAAAACAAAAATATTTGTTACTAGTGGCTCGCCCTCGCTTCGCTTCGGTGTAGAGCTGTAGGGTAGATTTAAATGACTCTTCAAATAAGTAATTATAAAAAAAACTGAAAATGGTATATTTGCCTTTTCTAAACTTCTATTGACATCACGTCGCTCAATTGTTTTGCCTTCCCAGAACCTCTCCACTAACATTTGAAATTTATGGTATGGTATTAAAGTTCAAATTGACTTTTAAGTATTACTTTTTAATTTGAACGAATATATAAACACTACCAACACTACTAATACCTATTTTACAAAATAACAACAAAAGAAATTCAAATAAACTATTTAAAGACTAAAAGTCGCTCTGATAAGCACGGTTTCTCAATATCAATTATTGTCTGTCAATAAGGTCGAACGCTCTGAATGCATCAACAGCCAAATATTGAATGAAGCTCACTCTCGTGGCAACTGTTACACAAAAATAATCCTTAAAGCATGATTCAGTATTCACGTGCGACAGCGCGATGGCCTATTTCATGTATAAGTTTGGTGTTTCTATACCGATTTCTATGATTATTTTTTTATTGAATAGGTAATAATGTTAACTTTTTTAAATTAGGGATGAGTGAGAGTATTATAAACGTAAGAGTAAACAAATATAATCAGAATGCTCCGAACTGCTAAGCTATCAGGAGTTACACGTGTTATTGTGAGTCAACCATAAAAGATAGACATATGCTGTTTGGGGATATTTTTTAGACAATTTTATGTAGAATATTTTCGTCATACATGATTTCTATGCAACTTTAACCATTAAGGCTACACACGCGATGGAAGCTTAAAAAATGGAGCTTAAGAAATGTTGGGAAAACGGGAGAACCGTTTTCCCAACATTTCCCTTTACTACTCTGCTCCTATTGATTGTAGCGTGATGAAAAGTATACTATAACCTGCCCAGGAGTATGAAGAATAATTGTACCAAGTTTCGTTAAAATCTGTCGAGTAGTTTTTGTTTCTATAAGAAACATACATACAGACAGACAGAGAAAAATTTTACAGATTGCAATTTTGGCATCAGTATCGATCACTAATCACCCCCTGATAGTTATTTTGAAAATATATTTCATGTACAGAATTGACCTCTCTACAGATTTATTATTGCGATATTTTTTAACAGTATTGTGGATTGACATATTATATTTCCCTACTAAAATACGAAAGTTAATCTGTCTGTCACATCAAAACCACTGAACCCTGAGGAAGGACATATGCTACTTTTTACGAAAAACGACGAAAACGCGGACGAAGTCGCGGGCAAAAGCTAGTGATTACATAAATGTTTATGTTTTATACATAGTATTTATTATATTTAAAAAGCGATCTCAATCCTATTCCATGTCAACGTTTTTATAGAACCAATAAAAGCATTTTATTTGTTTTTTTCGTTGTTTTCATGTGTATATTATGTCTCTTTGGGATAACCCACAACACCCTTTATTTTTTCTTGAGTTTTTACGATTTAATAGCTTGGCAATGGCTTTTAGAAATAATGGCTTATTTACGGAGCGACCTTAAGCAATGCAGGATTAATCCTTCTCCAATTAATTACCGTAAAATGTTCCTACTTTGCTCCTATAGGGGTAATTATGCTCCAATTCTCTAAAATGTTTTATCGCTTAATATATCCAAATCGGTGCAACATTTCATTTAACTGTGAATGCACCCGAAACATCTTACTTATAAGTAAGTGTAATATAAGGCAACACTGAACGGTAAAATTTTTCATCCGCAATTTTTTTCATAAATCAGGTGCAGCTGTAGTTCAAGACCTTAAAAGTATTTTTTTTGTATCCAAAAAAGCCACTTGTATCATGAAATCTGCATAATGCATTAGGGTAATTATGTTTTAATGTTATTGATTATATAAGCAGGTAAACGAATACGTAAATATTTCATTGAATTGCTGAGTCATAATCTAACCTCACATTTTTGGTGTGCTCGATGGGGTAACTTTGCGCCTGGAGCAAACTAAACCCAAACATTCATTGTCAGTGGTTATTAATACACTTTTTATCAAGGAAATTACAAAAATAACTAAAGAAGGGGATATGTCTCTTTAATGAAGAAGTCGCTAAAATCCTGACAGTGGCCTAAACCCGTCGATGAAATTCAATTCGATTGGCAGGATATATTGGGATGTATTGATGTCCCTTAAAACATTAGTACCCGCTGTGAAATATATTCCGTTCCTGAACTGGCCGCTTGGGGGTTATTTTTTAATTATAATTATTAAAGTTTTAATTTTTGAGAAATTTATATCGTTAGTTTATTTTCGACTGATTTTTGTCTAGCATTTGTAACCAAATTTCTTGTTAAGATAGCAGCTATTATAATTTCAGAAAATAAAAAAAAACAATGAAACAAAATGATTTTGTAACTAAATTTAAGAATATAACAATATTTTTTTCAAAAACACGGTTTATTTTAATTTTTACCCATTTTTCGACCATTGATACTATCAAAAAGGTAAAGCGTAATATAACTGGAGTATACGAGTAGTTTAAATAAGGAAAGCATAACTTTGCTCAAAAAGCGTCTACAATGGAGATTGTTTATGGAATAGACCTAGAGTTATTCATAGTTTTATTTATATTATGAAATAATTCATTACGTTGATTTAACTTTAAAAATATGAAATGAAATGAAAGTTTATTTGCATGACACATATTTTGTTACAGCTGGTAAATCATATAAAAGTTCCATATGTTTCGCCCTTGCATTCGCATACAAAATACTAATAAATTATCTAAAATTCAAATTTAAATTGAGTAATAGTTGCATTCCAAATGTCAAATTTATTATTTATTTTATTTTTTATTTATTCAATTAATACGTGTCAAATTTTCTAATTCAATAGCCATTTCTTCATTATGTCAACACAATTACAATAATTAATAAATATAATAACTATACATTATATTACACATAATAATCATACAATACATGTAATTTTTTTAAGTCAATAGCCATTTCTTCATTATGTCAATAAAATTAAAATTATTAATTCATAATAAAATTCATTTGTACTATAACAACATTAACTTATTAACCAGTCCCGTAACTTTTTTGCCATTAATTTTATAGGTTCGTGCTTGAATTGATTTGGAATTCTATTGTATACCTTAATACACATGTTATAAGAGCTTTTCTGATATACCGAGGTTTTTGGTGCAAAGTCTAAAACAAATCTATCACCATCTCTAGTGTTTCGAGGGTATATATCTTTAGCCTTATGATATAACCCCGGGTTTTGGCAGACAAATTTAAATATTTCTAATATATACTTAGCAGGGACTGTGAGTAAACCTAAACTTACAAAAAGTGGTCGACAACTATCAAAGGGACCTCGCCACATATAGCTCTCACGCATTTCTTTTGGGCAATGAAAACTCTTTGAATGTCTGTACTATTGCCCCACAGAAGAATCCCGTAATTTAAACCAGACGCTACCGTATAACCGTGGTAAGCAGACAGGGTCACTTTCAGAGACGTTTTTTTTAGACAAATTCCTCAGTACGTAGACAAATCTATTAATTTTAGTACATACCTTGTCAACATGAATAGTAAAATTTAGGCTTTCGTTTAATACAATTCTCAGGAATGTGACTTTTTCAGCCTTTTAATAGGCAAATCGTGATATTTAATGTTAACGTCACCACTTGAGCGGCCTTTACATTAAAATTTACATAGTTAGTCTTACTTATATTTACGTGAAGATTATTTGCATCAAGATATTTAATTATGTCAAAAATTGTTTTATTTATGTCATTTTCATGATCGCATATGTCACTATATTAATTAGATTCAATAATCACCGAGATGTCATCAGCAAACATTATACATTGATTTTCTGTCACTTTTGGCAAATCGTTGGTGTACACTAAGAATAAAGGAGGGCCCAGTATGGTACCTTGCGGTACTCCAAATTTGATTATTTCATATTTAGAGCGTTCCGAAACAACTGTATTCCTATTATCTATTCTATTAATTTCTACGCATTGGTATCTATTATCCAGATACGTTTTAAGCCACGGGAGACAACGGCGTGTGGTGTATAGGGGTAGGAATTCTAGTACTTGAATTAACAAAATACTCTATAGAAAAGCTAAGGGTATACGACACTCTTTGCCGATGTAGCTATCACATACATTTTACAGACACCATCCCATCATTTATCTGTCAAAAAATGAAGGAGGTCTAGAGAAATCAAAGTGCAGACAACTTTTATTACGCGACAGAAAGACAGGGGTGTATCAGGATCAGGAGGGAGGATCCAAGCTGGGCGTCGTACTCTATCAGAAGCTCGAATTGCTAAAAACGATTGAAGAATATATTCTGAGAACCTACCGGTTTCAATATTAAAAATAACAAAGCATGTGCCATCAATATTGAATCAAGAAGATGTAATGTTTTTTACACGTGGTTGATTGTATGTATTTTTAATATTGAAACAATCTTAATTACTAAACATATTTTTTGTCGTACACTGTTTGCTTTATTTGTCATGCTTTATACGTACTATATATTTTAACCAAGCCTATAAGTTCTTAGCCTTCCCTTAGTATCAGTTTCACGTTGACAAAAAGAATTAGGATAACCCCTACTTTGCTGATAACTCGAAATCCTACTGCAGTACATCATCGCCTGAGACGAATTGGAGCAGGATTTACGTGTGTTTATCGTACGGAAATGCTAGCTTAGTTCGGCATACTGAAGTAGCATAACCATATACAACGCGGCCGGAGTTTTGCCTTCATCGTAAATCAATAATCAAAGGCAGGGCAGAAAAAACAACAAGATGGCTCGTCACCCACGACGCCCACTGTCCAGCGGCACCCAACCCGACGTAGGCGCACCCTCGCGAGATGCTGCCTGGGGTAACATGCTAAGAATGGTTCCCGAACCCGTTCTGTCATCGAAGAAGACCATCACCGCGCTTCGCCCTGCATCACTTTATGTTCATCAACGATCGCACCCCTGCGAAGACGGGGCGGGTCGCTAGCTTTACTATAAAATGTCCGCCCAATGCCGATATAAAATGTCTGTCCAATTTGGTGAACTCGGCGCTTGACATGACTGAACGAGACCCTAATGCTTAATAAAGAGATGAAAGAGATAGTCATCAGACTGTCAGTCCTATAGTCTCATAAGGTGAATGAAACATTGTAATACTTCTCGTTGGCCGTAATTTAGGCGTGGCCACTCAACAACCACATCAAGATATTTCCTCATCAAAAATCTTACCGTTCAATAGTTGTCGTTCTCCTAAGGGTTGTAGTTGTGGTCGATCGGATACCCATTGTACATTGCCGACTGCTTGAGGATTTTGCGGTTGTAGAATTGTTGCAGAGGGCCAGCTTTTAGCATAAACAGGCGACAGAGGCAATTTTGGCCCAAGCGGTGTTGGTTGTGATTGTGATATAACGATTGTTGTTTGTTCTTGAGATAACGTAGGTTTAGGCGGTAACGGAGACGTCGCTGTCGATACTGAAGATGTGTTATATGAAAACAATACTGTTATAATACCTTAATGCTAGAAAAGAAATGAAAAACCAAAAACACTTTTTAAGTATGTAAGTAGTATTAATTGCAAGTGCCTGAAAGTAGAGGTAAGAAAAAATTTATTAGACGATTCAAAGGAGCTTTCAATAAGTCAATTTGAATAAAGTTTTATTTAATTTCAGTGCTTAAATTTATTAAATTAATAAATGGATCTTCTAAGATTAGACGATTATCGTCAGAGCAATATTATTTACCTTACAGTAAAATTAATACTACATAATATGTAATATTAACTTTACTGTATATAAGGATATATTATTATTTATAAGGATATGAGGAAATATATCGTATACAGCTTTCTTCATATCCTCGGCAGCCAAAGCCTATATGTAAATATTAAGTAAGATATACATACCGATTGTTATGTTATTACTAGTAACATTGTATTGTGATACGTTTAAGATTCCTTCTGTAGTAGAGGCACAGGTTGATTGTTCTTCCGAGGAAGCAGGTACCTTTTTCCGAAAAATTTCATTTTCCCGCAGAGTTTTCACGTACTCTTAAAAATAGGAAACATTATCCAGTGTAAAACATTTGTTTTGCTTAAGTGCCTAACCGACACGTACAATATAATAAGCTTTTGTATTCTTATGTCTCTAATGAATTTAGAGGGAAAGAACAACTCTAATGCCACCTGTTTAGACAGGTATTTAAAATTTATTATCAATAGCACTAGCTGTGCCCCGCAGTGTTACCCGCTGTTTATTAGAAATTTTTCCGTAGTAAAACGTAGACATGTGTTAATCCAGGGTGTCAGCTAATTCCATACCAAATTTTATTAAAATCGCTCCAGCCGTTTAGACGTAAAGAAGTAACAAACATACACACTCACAAACTTTCGCGTTTATAATATTAGTGTGATATGATACGGTAATTAAATTACCATTGTGTTTACAACTTTCCCGTAGCGCTATTAGACGGATAGACGGAATATAGACGGAACTTTTATTACCACCCAATATCAAATAAATTTGGCACGAGTATAAAAAAAGATAATTTTTCAGTCATAGTGTCATTCATCCATTGGATTACTACATGGAAAAACGAATATCCTATGACATGTCAATAGCAAGCAGCTCCGAACAACGTCTTCTAACTTAGTACATATCTATTTATTTGTGCTATCTAATATGTGGTTAAAGACTAACGCTCTTATTCATAAAAATAGAAACGGTTTAATAAACCTATTTTAGCCAAAATACTATTTTGTCTCGGTTTTTCTTAGCACTGTCAAGATTTGGGAGAAAGTGACAAAACAGTGCAATAGTTAAAACATGTTTATTAAACTGTTTTAATTTTTATGAATGAGAGCGCTAAACTATGAAGTTAATACTAATTCACGGCAACGTGCCGAGCATTCATCGACACCCGACAGAGAAATACAGATTGTATTTTTTGCACTTGTAGTATGGAGTGGGTGGAATCTGGGAAGAGTAGGGTTGATGAGGGGATTTCTACCTGATATATTCGAAAGCCGGCTGTGCAGATGTCAAACTTGCTAACTAAAACCTCTCAGAGGATATCCACCCAATTTCACCACTGTGCGACGTCTGAAGCGATTACTCGCTTCAACTGTTAAACTTCAAATTCTCAACACTAGGAAAATGTGCAAGCTAAGTGGGTTTTGACAGGTGCCTGAGCTCGTAGATGCAGCGTCACCGCCGTTAATGTGCCTTCCGTCCGTGGAGGTCGGAATTAATAAAATAAATAATGCACCCTTTACCAAGTTAATACCACATCACAGTTTTTTGACATTGCTTTTAAGCTATGCTATAACAATTTACAAATGCTAAGATGAACAATGTACTAAAATTTGTGCCGAGTCATTTATCTTCCACTTAACATCAGGTGGGTTTTACTGCCCCTCGTATAAATAAATGAATCCAACTGTATGTCAGGCTTATAAGATTTTTTTTTTAAATGGACGACTTCAGCTACGTTAAAGTCGAAAATTATCTTTGTTTTCATATATGTAAATATGTTCTGTCTGTCCATATGTAATTGAACTCCTCCTAAACAGTTGGACCGATTTTGATGAAATATGTGTGTGTGTGGATGATTAGTGCGGATGCCTGAATGGTTTAGTTAGCTTCAGAAGTTGATTTATAGTCAGGTTCTAGAATTTTATTTGAACTTGTCATAAACGACTGGATTTCAATTAAATTTGATGAGATGAGTGCATTTCCCCGGATGGTTTAGATTCAAATCTGGACACGTAGCGGGTGCTGCACTTGGATAGGAGTACGTCTGTTGGTAACACTAGTGTTATATATATATATATATTTAAATTAATAAAAGTAGAGGGTATGTAGTTAAACACTATTATCAGGATTAAAATTTTGATGACACATACCTGTATGTGTCACTGTATCGACGACCTCCGTGGTCGAGTGGAATAAAGGGAGTGGTTTATACGCCGTGTTTCATGGTGTCGCCGACTCGAGAGGTCCCAGGTTCGAATCCCGGTGGGGACAGATGTTTGTGTGATGAATACGAGCATTTGTTCTCCAGTCATGGATGTTAAATATGTATTTTTATATAAATATACTTATATATGTACAATATGTAGTATTCTATCCGTTACCCTAGCATCCCATAACCCAAGCGTTACAGTGCTTACTTTGGGGCTAGGCTAATTGGTGTGAGTGTTGGAAATATTTATTTTTTATTTATTTATTTGTATATTATCACTATTCGGGGCGTTAACTACGTACCATATTATTTTCTGTTTCCGATTCAACAAAAAAGAAATTGGTAGGTACTTACCTAATTTTAAAATATCAACTAAAACTAACGCTTGTTTTAGACGATCATCATCAGAATCACTGGAATCCTCCCCATTTATATAAATAGTTAAGCAACATGTGTTGAAGATTATTATAAAAAATATTGACTTCTTCGTATTTAATAGTACCATCACGAGTAGTCCATTGTGAAGTGTAGCTATACACTTCAGCAAGATTTAATTGAATTTTTATCTTTATTGCCGATACACAATAAATTCGAAATATAGTTGGTATGTTTTTGATTCAGTTGTGATTTCGAATCAATAGAATAACCATAGTAATAAATAGTGATTATAATCTTGAAATATATCTTAATTTATTTCTTTGTAAATACTAATATAGGTAGTAGGTATGGTGATTTTTCAATTGAATGTAATAATTCCCTGTGGTTAAATCTCAAGATTAAAGTAACAGACTTGTAACTTACTTCGCTCTATAAAACCCGAATACAGATAGGTATATATCGTCGAAATTAGTGTGTAGACTTTATCCTCAATATACTTTCTTCCTTTCCTCCTTTTGTAGCATAGAAGGTTATTCCTAATAACACGGGTACCTACACAAAAAAATATGGGTGCGTGTACTTAATTACGCGCGTGAGAAGTTATACTTCTTTTTGGAATTATTAAAAAATAGTTTTTAATTGCATGCAGATAATTAATTACAATAAGATAATAAAAGGATAGTCAACGCAGTCAATAAAGTTCAGTTTTAATTTGAAAAATTTAATAAATAATCATAATATTCAATTTAAATCACTACTGAATAAAATTTATTAGCACATATAAATTTCGCATTTGTATAACATTATAACACGTGTTAAGAATATAGAAACTAGAAACATGTGGATAAATATTATAAATATGAAAACAGTGATCCGAGGCGACGAGCGTCCCAACATGTGCGACTAAGAGATCCTATTACTATTTTGTTGGAAGCTTTTTTTCGAGACTTACGAGTAATGTGCGGTTTAGCGGCCGACTTCATGGTGTTACTTTTCTGTTACAGTGTTGCGCGCGCATCTTAAAATTTCACTCTCATCATTTTTTCATAACGCGCCCGCGGCTAACTTCATTATGTTACTTTTGTGTTACAGTGATGCGCGCGCATCTTAAAATTTCACTCTCATAATTTTTTCATAACGCGGCTAAAGAAGTAACTTCAAAAAAAATAAAAATAATGGAAGCCAACATTAAACAACATTTTTTTTATTTATTTTCTACTCGTGTTATTAGGAATAACCTTCTATGGGACAGAAGGAGGAAGGGAAGGAAAAGGTATATTGAGAAATCACATTAAGTGAATAGAATGCCCAATGGAACCTAGAGACCACTTCAGCATGCGGGCCTCTCGGTGCGATTTATGAACCCTGTAGTCCATCTAGTTTGTCCAGCAAAGATAATGTTAATATATTTTCTTTCTGCAAGAACTGCTTGACGAAGAAATCTAAAGTAACTTTTTACTGAAAAATATGCCACTACTGAACCGGTGAAATTTTTGCTCTAATGAAAGCTTTCTTTAGAAATAATTTTTCTTGTGGTCAAACACTGCAATAGGGGTGATGACGGGGCGGGGTACAGTAAACGAAATTCTATATAGTCTGTCAGTTAGGTGATCAAAAATAATGGACACTTATTTTTTCTTTGTGCAATCAACCAAAAAATGACAAAGTTATAGCGCGTCAAATTTTGGGAGTAGGGGCTCGTGACGTCACTTTTAAGTGAAAATTGTACCAAAACGTGACATCATGCGACTTATCAAATCAATATATATATATCTCTACAATGTTTATATTATATATATCTCTACAATGTTTATATTATGTGAAAAATTAAAAAAATCGTGTAAAATACTTTTTGATAATCTACCTGATAAACGAAGAAAAAAAAATAGTCATCATCCCTATTAGTATGATTAACAGGAATCCGTGTATTTAAATATTAAACTAAACTAAACAAGGTAAATACACTGTAGTAAGTAATGAAGATGCCTAAAACTGTAGCAGTATGCAGCAAGAATTGCATTCAACTCAAAAGCAACAAGATTTTTGTTTATGCAATTAACGTACACTACTTGTAATATTTGTTTTCTGTGGAATATTTGGTATGTGGAATTAAAGACAAAGAATATAAATTGGGAAATATTACTATGGAATATTTTTAGTCAATGTCAAATTTTGTGTGGAAACTTGAACAAAAGCGCCTCAAAGTACGTAACGTGAACTAAAAATCAGTACACATTTGACAATGACTTTCGGACTCGCAAACGTTACGAATTCGATATTGGTTCGTGCCAAGGGTACTGGTTTCATTTCACGCGAGTTTATTTAGATAAAATATAATTAAAAACCGGCCAAGTGCGTATCGTGCCACACGCAGTGTAGGGTTTTGTAGTTGCTTGTACTTACCACAATATATTGGAATCCGTATTTTCTATATCGGAAATTAGAAAAACCAATTATTAAATATCAATCTATGTATCTCAACTAAAACACACTGCGTCTCAAACTCAAAATCAATTCGATATTATTATTATTTTTAAATACGAATAATAACCGCCGATTTTTTTTTTGCTCCTAGTCGGGGGAGCGGTTGTGAAATCCTGATACCCTACAGCCGGCTGCAAGGTTATGTCAGACTTTTACTGACTAAAAGCTTCTTCTGCAGCGATCATTCCCTGAGAAGGGGATATAAAATTGCTTATATGCTTTTTATAAAAACGTAACGTTAGCGACTCAAAAGCCGTTGCCGTTGGTATTCGCGGTAGCATTGATTAACTAATGATATTTTATGGGTTTTAAATCGTTTTTAGTTTTCATTTTGTTGCAATGCAAGGTTTTACCATCCTACAATTACATCATCTATGTCTCTATTAATGTTTTCTCCTAAGGAATTTTCAATAGGTAAGAAATTTTCTTTAACCAAATTGAACGACTATTACTCTTAAACTAACAAATCTATCTTAACCGTTATAGTTTTCCTTAAAAGTTTATGAAAAGCACTATCATCATGAATTTTTCCAGGTTTTTCAAGCCAATAGTTTAGCTTTTAGAGGAAGGGAAGACGCCGTACTCGAACAAAAATTAGCACTTTAAAGCTCAATATTTCGTAAACGGATCCCTTAATCGAAAAATAGCCTAAAAACCCCTAATTAATTTTAAAGGACCTATTCAACAATATCCCATCTGATGGGAAGATGATGAAAAAGAATCACCTCAGGTTACATGTAGGGAACCATTAAATATTCAATAATGGGTCCCGACTGTTAAAGTAGCTTTGTCCCTTACTTAACAGAATTATACACTACTGGACTTGTTTTTTTTTCTTTTCTGTTTTTATTTGCAGTAATATAAAGCAGTCGGGTCTTTTGATTTTTTAAATTTACTTTTTTTATTTTATACTTTTTAGTTAGGATTATAAGACGGTATATACACAATATTGTCACTTGTCACTCGGCAAGGGAGTTAATATAGCGGGGATTATTAAGGACCTTGCGGTGGTCTAAACGATTGATTTAATATGACATAGAGAGACCTTATAGGGCTACAATGTGTGCCTCAATTTTCGAAAAAATGTGTGAAGTTAACTCAAGTCGATACCTACATATTTAATGCATGTATATGTTATAGTTAACTAGCACTTATTAAAAAGTTCTTTTTAGTACAAAATATAAAATTCATTTACTTTTATTCGTCGACTGTCTAAAATTGGCAGTGGCTGCATTGCCAGCGTCCGGTTTTAAGATTGTGTTAAACAAATGCAGTGTCATATCCTAGTCTCATAATTTGTTTTACCTACATACTTCACAGAAACCAAATATGTAGATGCCAAAGGTTAACTTCAAATGTTGTTAATCATCCTATATACAATACCAATCAATGATGTTAATGTCACAGGTTGACGAAAGCAATAATTCCCGTCTGTTCTTTTAAACAGTGGTGGTAACTACCTTAGATCGCTACATTAAAAAATTATACAATCACCAAAGCAAAGTTTATAATATTTGATCAAACTAAAGGCGCAGAATCAAATTTCCATAGCGTTAAGAAGAGCACCATAGCAATCTCATTTATTATTAATTTATCACCCAATACATTGATTTAATCTTTTTCGTTCTCTTTTAAAGCGTTCACCAGTTACAGGTCGCAGACTTTCTGGTCTACCCTTTTTTATTTGGTAGTGTAAAGCAGGAATAAAGAGAACTTCCACCTATCAATCGGGCTGCTTGGTAGCAGCCCGATTGATAGGTGGAAGTTCTCTTTGAAATTTGATTCTGCGCCTTTAGTTTGCAATTATTTCCCAAATATGTTTTTCTACCAATAAAACAAAATAAGAATAAGTATATATTACCGAATAACGAATCAATGTTTACCAAAAAAGCTAAGTAACTTTTGAAAATATAATAAAATTAACCTATTACTTAGTTTATTTTTAAAAATTTTTCCTCAATTAAATATTATTGCTCTAACGATCTATACTAATATTATAAAGAGGCAAGAGTTGTATGTTTGTAACATATAATCTTTCAAACTTCTGAACCGATTTCGAATATTGATTCACCATAAGGTACTTACATTATTTATTAATATACACTTCTGGACACATCTACTGGCCCACCTTGTATTTTCAGTTTCGTTTAGTCCTAGCTAAAATTTTATATTAGGTCGAGCAAAAAGCTTTTATGCAGTTTTGAACCTGGCACATTCAGGACGAACACAGAATTTAAAGAAACAAAAGACAATTTGGAGCCTGTTTGTTGATATCAAACAATCGAATACTAAGAAAACTTGGTTTTATTGGTTTACTTGGATTTAATTCTTGAAAAAGTGATTGATATCTTTGGTTTTGCAACAAACATTACTTATTCTTAACATTAAGGTGAGGTTTTATCAATAATCTATGGATACTTCACCTGAAGTCGCCGCCCAAGCTGTGGCGCTTATTCAGGTCGGACACAGCCAAAGAAACGTGAGTGCTCAACTTAATTTAAGTCGATCTGCGGTCCGAAATGTTTATCGGAGGTACCTAGAGACTGGCGGCTTTGTTCGTCGCCAAGGAAGGCCACGAACTCGGGTCACAACTGAAAGGCAGGATCGATTCATCGTGACGACCAGCTTGAGAAATCGTCACCTTACCTCCACTGAGATACAAAAACAAATTCGCGACTTCCACGGAGTATCTGTGAGCGCTCGAACTGTTCGGAGAAGGTTAACAGAACGCGATATGGTACCACACAAGCCAGCTAATGGGCCCAAACTAACGCGAGCCCACCGAACAGCGCGCCTTCATTTCGCACGCAGTCATTTAAATTGGACACAGCAAGATTGGAGCCGTGTTCTCTTTTCTGATGAGTCTAAAATTGTGTTACATGGCAATGATGGAAGGAAAAAGGTCTACCGACGTAAGGGAGAGCGTTTCGCACAATGCTGCTTTGAAGAGAGGGTTGCTTATGGCGGTGGCTCATGGACTGTCTGGGGCGGTATATCCGCGAGCGGCAAAACTCAACTTGAGGTTGTTACAGGACCACGGCTGCCAACATTAAATGCTGTAAGGTACATTCGTGAGTACTTAAAACCTTACGTGATACCATACGCGGACTATGTGGGCCCAAATTTCCTTTTTATGCATGATAATGCAAGAGCCCATGCGGCCGGCATCTTCAGGGAATATCTTCGGGATGTGAACATCACAGTTATGGACTGGCCAGCCAGAAGCCCAGACATGAACCCCATTGAGCACATGTGGGACGAGCTAAAAAGACGTGTTAGGGCTCGTCAGCCAGTTGCCCAGACGATGCAGGAGTTGAAAACTGCCATAGAAGAGGAATGGGAGATGATCCCTCAAAATTTCATAGAGCGGTTGATAAACTCTATGCCTAATCGTATGAGAGCTGTGGTAGATGCCCATGGAGGCAACACGCGTTATTAAATTAAACCTTTATTTGATAAAACATGTTTTTTATTCAAAAATCAATTGCCTTTAACAAGGCGCATATCCGACTTGTTAGGCGTAGCTCCATGTCGTATGGTAGTCTGAATTCAAATTTAAAACAATACGATCGAAAAAGATGGTAAAGTGTATCAGGTTTAAAACTGCATCAACAGTTTTTGTTCAATCTAGCAATCATATTTCGGTAGGGGCCATCGAAACCTAAACTCTAAGGTGGGCCAATAGATGTGTCCAGAAGTGTATTTTCAAGCATTAATCTCAAAATCGTTGATTAAACTGCTCGATTTATAAATCTAAAGAAAAGTTTCACTTAAAAAAGTCCACTCTGGCAACTTTTCCGAAAGGAAATTTTTCTAGTAAACATTTTCTTTATACTTAACTACTTTATATCCAAGTGACATAGGGTATATTTTATCCCTGCGCGGACAGACTTCTTCTTCTTCTCCGACCATTCCCGCAGTCTACTCCTGCATACTACACCGCGTTCCCATTTTATTATCGTTGTAACTTTTTAAATATTTGTCGAAATGACATAGTGTAAAGGGCTAAATTTATCATTTTTAAATATCAAAAGCGATAAAAGTATTTGTTTTGATAAAACATAATTTATTAATACAAAATGTGTATTTTGGAAATGGATATCAACTAATATTATTATATTTTTGATTCACTATTTTAGCGAATATGGCTTACACATTGAAGTAAGTCAGTCGCAGACTTTTTTGTAGAACTATTTAAGAGATATATAATTACACTTTACATTATATTCATGTAACTTTTATTGTTTTTGCAGTGCAGGCTAAAATGGCTCCCAGATGGAAGTTTTTTCCGTCTTACGTGACACTTATTGTTATATTTTGGCCAATACACTGAATAACTACATTAATTATTATCTATATGTTATTATTATGTATGAGCTATATTATTGTTAAGTTTCATTAAAATCCATTAAGTATTTTTGAGTGAAAGAGTAACAAAGATCCATACAAACGTAAGATTGCAATTAAAAGCGCAAGTGGTTAATATGCAACTTTAAATCGTTGTAGATCCTAAAAAGTCATATAAAATAAAAACTGGTGTAAGGAACCTCATTATGATTTTCGATTATCTAGACAATGATATCCCACTCGACATATTTAGTCAACTTATTTTTTTTACTTTGACACAATATGGCGCCTAGCTGTTCCCACATTGAATTTTGATTAATATAATATCTTTAGTAGCACTCCCAGCATTAAGACGAATCAATTGGTGTATAAATCATCAAAATCGGTCCACGCGTTTGGTCTCTAGTGTGCCACAATGGAACAAACATACATATATAGACTGGTAAACACTATACCCTGTCTGCGCGTCGCGCTTCGCGCTCTTGCATTGCGCAGTCGGGTAATAAGATAACTTTTCTTTTCATGATTATTTGTAATACAAAATACATTTTTGTTTAAGTAGAAGTAGAACGACATGACTAAAGAAACATGTGGTAAAACTGTCGACTGCTGATGTCATACAACAACTTTATGATTTTGTTTAACAGATACCAGGTGGCACAATACATAATAAAACATGGGTCTAATAAAAATAGATTTATTTCATTCCATTATAAAATCAAAAACGGCTACTTTAATTTTGGTACCTTAGTACTTCATGGTTCATCCATCCAAAAACTGCTGATATCATTAAAAGGTGATTGTAGTTCTGCCACGTCCATCGATTTGCCATTTGGTTTTGGTTCCTGTAGGTTAAGTAACGAGGATATGTATTAGAACTCGATGTCGGAGGAGCTCATAGTCGGAGGAGCTCGATGTCGCATCTGGAGAGTGCGTTCAGTCTGCGCCAGGAGAGGCGTAAGCATTCATAGCGTTCCCATCTGTCGATATTCCTCCGCTGTTGGGTCAGCTCAAAAAAAAACAAAACTAGTTGTGCGTCGGATATTTCACTAGACTGAGTCAAGTCGCGCGAGTGTATGTTAGAGATCAAAAATGCCAAAATGTGTAATTTGATGTAAAACATATCCGGAATATTAAACTTACAAAAGGATTGGTGTTAAATTTCACATATACGTATAAATATTAACATATTATTTCTATTCAACCACTTTTAAACACAAAATTCATATTATTTTGTTAAAATTCAATCGTCGGACTTGTTTGACAAAACAATCGACTCGCCAGTACAAATTTCAGATTTGTCAAAAAAAAATCTTAAGTTTCATCTATGCCCGATTGAGAGCTGTAATTTTTTGCGTGTGAGTGTCGTAATTACATCTTCGTTTTTGCGAAAGTATGTTGGATTGCATTTGTACGCACATTCCTCCCCCCGCAAAAAGTAGCAGAATGATTTTTTAGTAGTATTATGTTATTATGGCTACTCCCCTCCTAGCCGCGTCGGCTGTGTTGCTCTATGATAAATTCCCATGAAGCTGAAAGTGAGTGCAATAGTTCAAAACATAATAAAAAATAACATATCAAAATTCCCCATCGTTACGGTATATGGAAAGAAATGAATAAAACAATACAAAGGTAAAAAAAAACTAAGTTTTATCGTAAAATCACATTACACAAAAATTTAGATCATTTAATTATCTATAAAAAAAACGAAATCACAATACCCCTTCAAGTACGAGTACGCGTTGCTTTTCTGAATTTCGACACCATCCCTAACGTCGTGGAGCCCTGGATACCTTAGGGGCGGGTCACACAGAAATGACGTAACACCACAAGTAAGACGCAGACGGGAGGCGAAGCATAGCGTCAGCAAATGTTACAGAAAAGACAGGGCACGGACATGACGCTTCTGCATTTTGTATAATACTGACAATGTCCGCACGCCGTTTGGGTCTTAGGTTTTTTCTTTGTATCCTGCGCCTTACATACCATTAAACACAGTACCTGCTACCAAATGGTAGTGTTATTTTTCTGTGGTCTTCTGTAAGGCGGAGATTACTTCTCCAGACGGGTACTCAAATTCCACTATGCCCATTGTTTCTTGTCATGAATTCACAAAAGAAGATAATTACAAGTAAAGAAGGTTTTCTTTCAGTATCTTTCTATATTTTTAACACAATAATATGATGTTTCTCTAGATTTGAAGAGATTTTAAACTATCGTTTGCCAACAATATGAGTTACAAAATGTCACATAAAAACAATTACTTACTTTACCGGATGTGCTTACCCTTATTTTTACTGCTGGTGAGATACTGTTTTTTCGAAAAGCCAAAAGAGTAACTGTTTTTTTTCTTTTTTCAAAAGGTTCAAAGAAGCTCTGAAATGTAAAAATTAATTAATAATCCATATTTATATTATAAATACGAAAGTTTGTATGTATGTCAGGGCAAACCTCTGAACCAATTTAGCTGAATTTTGAAGAATCGATTGTTTGATATCATTGTGTACTATTAGAGAAAGACAAGGCTACATACGAGTAGACCAAGGCTAAAATATTCGGAACAGGATTAAACAAATACCAAAAGGAAGAAGAGACCACACAAAAAAGGAGGAAAAGAAAATTAATGGCGCGGAAACGGTTCACGTTTGTCGGAAAAACCGATAAAGAAAAAATCCCGGCTTTTTAGTTTTTTATTATTATCTCCCACAAAAAGCATACCTCCTTATGTCCTAAGCAGGCAATTTTTTCGATTCGAAATATATTTTTTTTTCCCCTTTATATTGTTATTATATCGAAAAAGTAACCTTATTTTCTATCGAACAATCTTCTGTCAAAATAGTTGACTTTTAAATAAGTTTGGTGCGTTTTTTGTTCTTTGGAAGCTCATCTTTCTGAATGTATACAAAAATTGGAGAATTATCTCACAAATGCAAATGCGTCGTCACGATTCTCGGCCTTTTAAGGGGGTAAACGGTTTAACTCTATTTGCAGGAAAACTGTAATTCCCTTCGAAAACAATTTTAATGGCAAAATTGTAAGTAATTAAATGTGAATATATGATAGAAATTGTAGTTTTGCCGAAAAATGCGATTAATCGTTTCCCCTCTTAAAAGGTCACCCCACACCCTTTCGAACTTCAAATCGCCCGTAATTTATTTTTTAATACAGTTGCTCAAAAAGTGGCGTATTGCAGGGACGTGTAGCGTTCGGGATCTGGGCTATTTCACACTCGTGCTTTTTTTTGCCTTTTCCGAACTCGTGCGTTTTCTTTCCCAACTGTCAAAATTATTTCTATTAAAAAAAAACAACCATGAAGTTTTAACTAAAAAAAATCATAGAAGTTTTTGCGATTCATGCAAATAGGTTTATTTGTTTTTAAAAAGAAGCTACCTATACTAATTTGTCCAATATCAGAATTAATTAATTGATTGAATGAGTTAGGTAAGGTTTCAGTTCATTTCATATCATTAAATTTCAATTTCATTTCTTATAATAAAAAATACTAAGTACTAAAGACTATACAGCCAAGTCCAAGTCAGTTACCTTTGCCTACCAGAATGGGTGAAAAAAAAACTGCTTACATTCTACGGTTGGCGCCATTTTCCGAAATTTTCTGTGCGAGTTTAGTTGTTTTTTACACAAAATGAGTAATTAGAGTAGGTAAGAGACCTAAATTTTTTTGAATTAACTCCACCGGAACTCAGTATAATTGCACAAAATGCTTCGGAGAACATTTTACCGGAAAAGTCAAAAATTCGCTACATATCTACATACGATGAATTTATTGCGTGGAAAGAAGAGAAAAAAGCAAATAGTTTTTCAGAAAATGTTATGTTGGCATACTTTTCCGAACTCTCAGCAAAATTAAAACCTTCTACGTTATGGTCAAGGTTTTCGATGATAAAAAGTATGCTGAAAATAAGGAACAACGTGGATATAAGTCAATATCCAAAATTAAATTCTTTCTTAAAACGACAATCAGACGGGTTTACCAGTAAAAAGTCGAAAATATTAACATCGAATGACGTGGAAAGGTTTTTGAAAGAAGCTCCCGATGATTGTTATTTAGCCACAAAGGTAATTTATTAATAAGTATACATATCTACATTTTTCTTTAGTGTTCAGTTTACAAAATCGCAAAATACAGTCAATACATTATTTATATGAATCAAATCGTTTTTTTTAGGTTGCTCTGATTTTTGGCGTTGTTGGAGCTTGCCGCAGAGAGGAGTTAGCCAATATTACTTTAAAAGATATTGGAGCCCATGGAGAAATGCTACTTATCAAGATTCCAAACACAAAAAATAAGATACCGCGAAGCTTTGTTGTTGAAGGAGATTTTCTCACAATAGTGAAAAAATATATGAACCAGCGGTCCCAAAAAGGAAAATCGGACCGTTTTTTTCAAAATTTCCAAAAAGGGAAGTGTACAGCTCAAGTAATCGGCATAAACAAATTTGGTAATATGCCAAAAGAAATAGCTACGTTTCTTGGTCTGCCGGATGCTGAGTGTTATACTGGGCACAGCTTCAGAAGGACCTCTGCTACATTATTGGCAGATTCAGGAGCTAATTTGACGTCCTTAAAGCGACTAGGTGGTTGGAAATCGGACAAAGTTGCAGAAAGCTATATTGGTGATTCATTAAACAACAAACTAGAAACTGGGAAAAAGATCACACAATCCATTAATTTAAGGTCCAGTCCGTCTCCTTCACATGCTGAAGAGAACGTTCGTCCATCTACGAGTACCTTCGTTGATAATGATAATTCATCAGATCCAATTCCATCAACTAGCAAACGCCATTGTATGACAAATATACATGAACAATCATACGAAATTAATAATAGTTTGTCTCAAACAGTAAATATGCAACGTAAAACTTCCCTAGTTAGTATAAAAAACTGTACCAATTTCAATGTATATGTGAATTATAACTTTTATAAGAAATAAATGATTAGTTAATTGAGTTTATTGTGTTTTTATAATTTGATTAAATTGCTTCATTTTTTCGCAACTGTATTAAAAATAGTCGTTCAGTACACGTACGGAACGAGTTGCAATGACGGTTGCCTCGCCTTCGGCTCGGGTAGACATTTGTCGGAACTCTTTTGCAATGACAACCATTCCGTACTAGTAATGAAATATACTATTTCATTGCAATTTTGTCATTGCAAAGAGTTCCGACAAATGTCTACCCGAGCCAAAGGCGAGGGTTGACAGTCGGAACGAGTTGCAATGACGGTTCCGTACGTGTACTGAACGACTATTTTTGATACAGTTGCGAAAAAATGAAGCAATTTAATCAAATTATAAAAACACAATAAACTCAATTAACTAATCATTTATTTCTTATAAAAGTTATAATTCACATATACATTCAAATTTTTACAGTTTTTTATACTAACTGGGGAAGTTTTACGTTGCATATTTACTGTTTGAGACAAACTATTATTAATTTCGTATGATTGTTCATGTATATTTGTCATACAATGGCGTTTGCTAGTTGATGGAATTGGATCTGATGAATTATCATTATCAACGAAGGTACTCGTAGATGGACGAACGTTCTCTTCAGCATGTGAAGGAGACGGACTGGACCTTAAATTAATGGATTGTGTGATCTTTTTCCCAGTTTCTAGTTTGTTGTTTAATGAATCACCAATATAGCTTTCTGCAACTTTGTCCGATTTCCAACCACCTAGTCGCTTTAAGGACGTCAAATTGGCTCCTGAATCTACCAATAATGTAGCAGAGGTCCTTCTGAAGCTGTGCCCAGTATAACACTCAGCATCCGGCAGACCAAGAAACGTAGCTATTTCTTTTGGCATATTACCAAATTTGTTTATGCCGATTACTTGAGCTGTACACTTCCCTTTTTGGAAATTTTGAAAAAAACGGAATTCGAATTTTTTCACTATTGTGAGAAAATCTCCTTCAACAACAAAGCTTCGCGGTATCTTATTTTTTGTGTTTGGAATCTTGATAAGTAGCATTTCTCCATGGGCTTCAATATCTTTTAAAGTAATATTGGCTAACTCCTCTCTGCGGCAAGCTCCAACAACGCCAAAAATCAGAGCAACCTAAAAAAACGATTTGATTCATATAAATAATGTATTGACTGTATTTTGCGATTTTGTAAACTGAACACTAAAGAAAAATGTAGATATGTATACTTATTAATAAATTACCTTTGTGGCTAAATAACAATCATCGAGAGCTTCTTTCAAAAACCTTTCCACGTCATTCGATGTTAATATTTTCGACTTTTTACTGGTAAACCCGTCTGATTGTCGTTTTAAGAAAGAATTTAATTTTGGATATTGACTTATATCCACGTTGTTTCTTATTTTCAGCATACTTTTTATCATCGAAAACCTTGACCATAACGTAGAAGGTTTTAATTTTGCTGAGAGTTCGGAAAAGTATGCCAACATAACATTTTCTGAAAAACTATTTGCTTTTTTCTCTTCTTTCCACGCAATAAATTCATCGTATGTAGATATGTAGCGAATTTTTGACTTTTCCGGTAAAATGTTCTCCGAAGCATTTTGTGCAATTATACTGAGTTCCGGTGGAGTTAATTCAAAAAAATTTAGGTCGAAATTACTCATTCTGTGTAAAAAACAACTAAACTCGCAAAGAAAATTTCGGAAAATGGCGCCAACCGTAGAATGTAAGCAGCTTTTTTTCACCCATTCTGGTAGGCAAAGGGAACTGCCCATACAGCCATAATAAGTCTTTAGTACTTAGTATTTTTTATTATAAGAAATGAAATTGAAATTTAATGATATGAAATGAACTGAAACCTTACCTAACTCATTCAATCAATTAATTAATTCTGATATTGGAAAAATTAGTATAGGTAGCTTCTTTTTAAAAACAAACCTATTTGCATGAATCGCAAAAACTTCTATGATTTTTTTTAGTTAAAACTTCATGGTTGTTTTTTTTAATAGAAATAATTTTGACAGTTGGGAAAGAAAACGCACGAGTTCGGGAAAGGCAAAAAAAAGCACGAGTGTGAAATAGCCCAGATCCCGAACGCTACACGTCCCTGCAATATGCCACTTTTTGAGCAACTGTATTAAAATATACTATTTCAACACATTTGCTAAAAAAATGCTTTTACGGAGGTCGTATACATTGTTTGGAAGTTGAAAATTACGCACCATACAACGGTGATTACCGCACGCTCCGGTATATGATACCGTGAGTATCCTTTACGGTTTTCTTTGAACCTCCTTGGAAACTTTTGATCTAGGTATACGTCTGGCTTACTTTAATACTAAAAAAAAGAAAAAAGGAGCCGACAGATGTAGTTCTTATTTTCACCACTGCGCGTCATTTTCGTCTTAGAAAAAGTTTGCTTCAATACTTAAAAATTATATACTGTTTTGAAATAATTATTTCAACACATTTGCGAAATATATAATATGTTTTAATGCTTTTACGGAGGTAGTATACATTGTGCGGTAATTCAAAATTACGGGTCGTACAACGGAGCTTGCGGTAAAACGTTGTACCGCATGTTTCCATACATGGCGCCGTGCGTGTTCTTTACTTTTTTTTTATTTCGGTCGAACCTACAGTGGTAGTGGTCTGGGCACACGCCTCTGGTACCTGGGTGGGCTGTGGCGTTTATCTCCTTGGGCGAGGGTCGCGGCGAAAAAAAGCCAGACAGACTGGTGCCGTAACGCATTACGTAACGAAGCGGTTTAACGGTAACCCTCCCATAAGAAGTCATCACTTCAAAAAGAGACGAAAGATGTAGGTAGCTCTAATTATCACCACCACTAGGTGGCGCCATTTTCTTATTAGAAAAATATTGCTTCATTAATTAAATTAGGTATAGGTTCAGTTTTTTGTTAAAACGTTGTATGACATTCTTGCCGAATTGGTATTTACAAACTCGTGATTATGGTAAGCCATGGACTTGTCTACTCGTTTGTTATTACAAACGAACATAGAGCAAACGAACAAACAACAAAGAGTATCATTACCGCAACCAACTTACTGCATTTATATCATAAATAACTATTAACAACTTAAAACTGCACAGGTATCAGGGAGGATTTGAACCTGATGGGCTACTCCGTAAAAGCAATCTCACATTTCATCACGGAAATCGCCTGTGTGATTGAAATTCGTGTTCTAATTTTAAATCAGACTGTGAATTCCGCAGCGAAAAGTGGGTTTATACCTTAGACTAAAACAAAAAGGGGTTTATTCTTACAGAATAGCCCGGCTTCACCTTCTGCAATCCGGGTGGAAGGTGCAGGTTCGAATCCTGTCAGAAACCTGGACCGATTGGATGTTTTTCTAGTAAAATTTGTTTCAGATTTACGTAAACGTCAATCAATAAAATGTATAAAATTTAAACATAACATAAATACCTTGTCGAAATATGGATGGGAACTTGATGAAAAAGTCTTCGTTAATTTAGTCAATGGAATAGGTAGGTCTGAATTTGTACGCCTCAGCTGGAATGATTTCAAAACTTCATTAAAAGGCATACACAAAATTGTGCAAACTTAAATCATACTTAGGTACTCGTGAGTTTTTAGTGATACAGTAATTTATTCAATTAACTTACTCTTTCATGACTTTCCAATTTGTATTTCCACGATGACGAATTCAAATCAGGACTGAATGTGTCGTATTTTGCTTTTGGATGGTTCATTTGAGAGGACAGGGGCTCTTGTTTTTGAAAATCTTTTATGTCACTTATTGGTTTTGGTTCTGTGGTGGCTGCAAAATAAAATTTTAAAACCTTGTTACGCGACGATTTTTTGCGTATAAATATAAAATGTAATTAATTCAATATTTTTAAATAAATCTCTTTTAACGTTTTTGTTTCAAACCCGATAACGATGACATTTAACGTTGTAGCAATAATGGTTTATTAATCATTAATAATTGTATTAATGTTGTAATAAAAGCTGATTTTACATTGACTCTCTGATGAAATTGGAAGTATTAACATGTGCGCACTGATCAAGACAATAAAATAATTCATGATAATAATACACTGAAACATCCGATTCCGCAGAGTTGTATCACCAAGCTTGGCGGCTATATAAGAAATGGCGCTGAATAATTCTTCAATTTCAAGGCATGTTAAATCAAACAAACAAACTATTCCAAGAAATACAATCGTTTACCTTTGCAAGGTAACACAGTGATTTGTTCCAAGAAAAACTGTTGGTGTTCATTCAGTATAATCTTCAGAATTAAACACACTTCAATAATCATCTCTATCGAGACTAAAATGCATACGATACGCGATTGTCCCTACGTTGTTACTTCTGAAAATTTGAGCTAAAGTGGCAGTATAGAAAAGGCGTTGTTAGGTTCTAAACAAATTGTTTTGGTTGTAAATCGATTGTACTATTAAAACGGAGTCATAATATTCAACAGATGACTAATACTAGCTATCCATTGATGTAATGCATTTGTAGGGCTGATAAAACAAAATGTATTTTCTGATTGTTTTTTTTTCTTTACTTTCAGAGTTCCTAGTTTTTTCAGGCCTAACCCACCTCGATATAATCGAGCTATCTCAGTCATAGGCCAGTCATTTAACACATCATAGGTTGCAATAAATTGCACTTTACATTTTTTGGTAAGTTGTTTGGATAGATATCAATAGTGTAAAAACAAAGTTCGAGGCTTCACGCTTATAACTTTTGAAAGTTCTATTCTTTCTATATAGTCACTTTCTACATTATAAAGAAGACTAAATTATCTACAGTATGTATGTCACTTAAACTCTGTAGAACTGATAGATTATAAAAATACAGCACTTCAAAAATTAGGTATTTTCCCCAAAATGTGGGAAATTGTAGTCTTAGCCGCATTCCGGCTAAATTATTGATAAAAATACTCATTTTACGACAAAAATGGGGATATAGGGATGAACAGTTTTCTTAATATCGATACCACTAAACAAAAAAATGCCAGTATGGGGCAGTAATTTCCACCTTAAATAATGACAGCCCTATGGGTTTTAGGCTGAGGTCATGGCAAGGAACTTATATACTATATAAGTGCCTTTTTTTTCTGGGAAATGCTTTACGCATCCTTCAACCACCGGGGGAGAGAGAAGAAGGTATGTGGGACTCTTCCCTGCTCATTTCAGCCAGCCCTTAGGCCGGGTGAAATGAGCAGGGCCCCTACCTAACACCCTGAACAGGGCCACTAAAAACCAGACAATACTCCTGCAGCGGTCACGCGGCGTACATTTTGAGGACCGCAGTCCCCCCAATGCACGCCGGGAGTGCGGGTGTGGTCGCGGCAACCGTTGCCGACTGTCCGCGCATCCGCAAGGTGATTGTCCGCGAACGGACCCACCCCGATGAAGATACCGCTGATACTCCGGGGCACCAGCATCAAGAGAGCTAGTGCAATGCGGGCAGCCCCCCCCCCCCCCCAGGGCAGACCCGCGGCGCTCACAGGAGTGGGAGGGAGAGCGTAGTTCTCTCCGTCCCTCTCCCGCCCTCTTTGGCCCTTTGAGCAAGAAGGGCCTTTTGAGCATCTACCGCAAATCGCAATGATCAGACTCACTGTGGGGTGATGCTCCTACCCTGGTCCTGAAAAGGACCGTTGAACGGTGTTCAAGTGCTGACCCAGGGTCCTTTCGCACTCTCTCCGCAGCCTCTTTCTGCGAGATGACATTCTCGCAGAAGGAGTACTATAAGTGCCTTGGGTCAAGGAGGGTACCCGCGAGTGACTGTTATGCCCGCTCTAGACGTCCGCGGACGTCGCCAGATGGATCACAACGAGCCGACCACAAATCTGACGATGTCTGAAGATCATTCAGTCTGTGTTCATTCGCGACAGTCGCAACTCGTATGCACACAACATTAAAAAAATAATGTTGAGATTATTTGCTACCGCAATTATTTACTTATTAATTTGGTACATTTAACTACTACTTGACGTGCATCGCAGAATAATTACTAAAAAGATAAAGGAAAGAAGTAGGTGGTGGCTACTGGCTATTTTTCAGGACCACAGGTCGATTTCTGCTTGAATACTACTCAAGGAATTTAAATATTTCGTTAATACTCTCAGCAGGGTTACTGACATTACATACTTAGTATTATAAAAAAAATACATATGCATTACATTAATACATTTTATTTATTTAATTTACTATTTAAAGTGTGACTTTTCAAAGTTTGTTTTATCCTTTGTTTTTATTTCTCTGTCGAACTCTTGCTCATCAAGTGTTTGTTTCCAGGGGCGCGGCCCTAGGAATTGCGGGGCTCCGAGCGACAGATCTTTGCGGGGCCCTTCTTATCCGACTTCGCCGAAGGGATAGTAATGTTTTTAGGTGTATTTATATTTCCTTGGTACGTTCTGCTGTGGCCTAATAAGTATATATAAAATAATAAAAAAATATATATGACAAGTAGGTAACTAGCACAAAAGGTAAGTAAAGGTAGGTAAATAGCTGCATCGTGGAGCGATGCTGGGCTGTACCTATTGCGGAATAGGGATGACGACTATTTTTTTTCTTCGTTTATCAGGTAGATTATAAAAACTATTGGACACGTATTTTTTCTTTTTTCACGTAATATAAATATTGCGGGGATATATTGATTTGAAAAGTCCCATGACGTCACGTTTTGGTACAATTTTCACTCAAAAGTGACGTCACGAACCCCTACTCCCAAACTTTGATGTGCTTTATCTTTGTCATTTTTTGGTTGATTGCTCAAAGAAAGAATACGTGTCCATTATTTTTTGATTATCTAACTGACGGACTAAATAGAATTTAGTTTACTTTACCCCGTCGTCACTTCAATTATTACCTTTATAATTTTTAGTAGGTACCTTAAAGGTTCATTCATTGGTACGCGTCGGTCATGTTGCTCTATGATTAGTACCCTGACCCAAAATGGTGGCCAATCATAAAATTTAACAAAATGACATGGCAATGAGTGGCATTGTCATTTAACAAAATCATCATAAGGCAGCTTTTTTTCAGGTCCGTGGAGGTAGCTAGAATTTGGATGCAAGTTAGTGAAATTTTTCGGATACTTCTCTAACTTCAATTCAATGCCCTTTTTTGCGCCACATTAAAAACTCGTAACTTTAAAAGTATTTATTAAAAAAAAGTTTTATACAAAATTTGTAGGAAATTTAATAACGAATAACTTTTATTAGACTTTTTTATCAATCAATGGCATGTTTAAGGTTTTATTAAGAATAAACTACAAACATGTTCAAATAAACAACAATAATAATTGAAAAACGGTAAAGGTTACAATTAAAAGTTTTAGACAAAACAAAGTTACGGAATTTAGTAATTAACAAAAATGCACTAGATTTTTTCGTAAAGTCTATAATTTCAAAGATATAGCGATACACGCGTTTTCTAATAGGGCGGCCAGTAGTGACCACCCTACATTCCCCGATTTCTAAACTTGAGCTTCTTACGACCCACCCTAACATCTGTAAAAAAAATGGTGTGGTTTGTTATTTGGTTTACGTACTCGACTCCATTCATTTACACTAAGATTTTTAACCGAATTCCATTTGCGTAAATCGTATTCGGGCTAACGACCAAGTGTAAATGAGCCATGAGGCATAAATGTTTGCGCAAATCACGCGCAAATCACACACAAAAAGGCATCTGGAAGCCATAACATTTTCGTTGTCTACAATATTATTCAGCTTAATGCAATTCTAAGTTAGTTGGTTCAAAAAGCGCGCGCGTGCAGGGAGCGTGGTCCCATGGCCGGCGTTGCTCCTCTCACTCGCCAGGCGCGCACCTCCCCACGACGCACGTTCTACTTCGACTCTTCGTCGCGACTATCTGTTCTTTGTGAAAAATTAACTTACGCCCGCAACTTCATTTAGATTTTTGAGAATCCCTCAAGAACCTAACATTTTCCCAGGAAGTTAAAAGTATCCTATGTCCCAATCCAGGTAATAAACTTTGTGCCAAATATCATACAAACCGTTGAGCCGTTTATGCGTGTTTTTTTTCCACACACCAATTAGCCTAGCCCCAAAGTAAGCAATGTAAGACTTGTGTTATCGTATACTAGGGTAACGGATAGAATACATATACTGTACATATATAAGTATATTTATATAGAAATATAAATTAAACATCCATGACGGGAGTAGAAATGCTCGTATTCATCACACATACTCTGCTCCCACCGGGATTCGAACCCAGGACCCCTCGAGTCGGCGACACCATGAAGCCCGGCGTACAAACCACTTAGCCATCAAAGCACCGATTGAGTAACAAACTTTCATTTTATGATATTAGTAGGAAAAGAAGCTAGGATGCTATTTTCATTAGATGATTTAAAGAGGAAGACTTTCCTCAGTTTTTGAGTACCTACCAAAATGGTCAATCACAAAAGGCATCAATCAATCTCTGCGTTTTCTACAATTTTAATCGGCGTCATGCAATTCTAAGTTAGTTGGTTCAAAAAGCGCGCGCAAGCAGGGAGCGCGTTTGCACGGGCGGCGCTGCTCCTCTCTCTCTCCGGGCGCGCATCTCCCCGCGACGCATATCCTGCTCCTAACGATGCTGCCGCCGCCGCAGGTCACTGAACAGTCGCCCCACTTACTCCAACGACTCCACACTTTGCGCGTCTTCAACGATTCTTCGTCGCGACACTCCTGTTCTTTATGAAAAAGGAGTCATTTTTTTAATATGATTTAGTAGATTACAGAGCACATTATATCACGACATCGATAACAGAGATTTTTCTGTAAAATACAAAGTATTATACGAACCATGAATTTTAGAGAACCTATTGAAGTTTGCACTGATGAACCATGAATTTTACACAACCTGTTGAAGTTTGTACCTGCCATATAACCACAAATAAATAGGGATTATATGGCGGGAATACAGACAACGAAGGCCATCATGACCAATTCACGCAGACGCAGTCCGAATTGGTGGTGGTGGATGCCAACAAACGGCAGATAGCTAGACTAGGACCAACGGCTTAACGTGCCTTCCATCTGCTTGTTTATACAATAAGTTAATGTGAATATGTAAAATAAAGAAATAAACCTGGAAGATGTTGCCGGAAGCCGCAAGATACGAGTAGCGTAAAACCGTTCTTTTCGTATATTCTTGGATGTATTGCATAATACACCCAATGATCACGAAAATAATGGTTACAAAGGAAAATAATGGTGGAGGTTTAGGGACTAAAACGCGCGGTGCAGCAACAGTCCTATTGTCGAGCGTTCGCGGTACCGGCGCCGCACCGTAGCCGCACCGCGCGTTTTGTATGAAAAAAAAAAAAGAAGTGGTGTCGTGGGGCACCAGGTACGAACGAAGTTCCTTCGGCTAATGCGCATTTAACGGTTTTATTGCACGCACTTTTTTCCACGGATTTTTTCTTACGGTTTTACTATCACATTTTTTTCAGTTCGGTCAGCTAGTGTTCGTAAAGATTGCTAGGCAGGACTGGCCCACAGTTTATAATAAATTACAATGTCACAATAATCCAGTAATGCAGCCCCGTCGCTCTGCCACCCCCTGGACTTAACCACAGTTTAGTATAATATACGACAATAATCCAGTGTTGGTATAATGCCACAATAATTTGGGGTTGCACCCCCGTCGCTCTGTCACCCCCTGTTAAGTACTGACCTTGTTATCATGTCTAGCTTGAGTTTACAGCAGATGACAGGCGTTCCTGGTCCACAGCTCGGTATAACGTCACAAATATCCAGATTTCGTGTAATGTCACAATAATAATAATAATATATAATAATAAATATATCTTTATTCAAATAAGGTCATACATTGCTTAATAATACTAATAACAATATAAAGTACAAAAATAATGGATGCCTGAACTAGGTTACAGTTAAAATTGTACCTGTATTTCAGGCTTTTATGATCTAAATAATACATTGAATGATTAATAAATTAACAAATTAATTAAAACAGAACTTAAAGTAATCGTTATATAAATGTTGGTAAATGTAAATTATGGAGTTACGTTCATTTATTTACAAATAAGAAGTAATTCTTCGGTCTGCTCGTATGTCAGGCTATGCAAATAATTAAATACTACAGTTCTACAGTTAAAATAGTTTAATGTGTAAATACCTAATACTCTATTTAACTTATTATATAAGAAAGGACTTAGGAAAGTAGAGAATCTATGTGAAAAGATGTATTTTGAATCATGTGTAGAGATGCAGACTATATCTTTCCGTCTTTTGTTAGTGATATCAGAGCAAAAAGGTGAAATGGTGTGTTGTTTTAATATGGTGTGCATAATGAAAAGCTGGCGAACAGTTAACACATTACAGTATTTGTAAAGTTGATGCGTAGGATATAAGAAGGGAAGTGAATTGGCTACTTTTAAAATGGCTCTCTGAGCTCGCTCGAGAGGGATTAAAATAGTTTTGAGAGCTCCACCCCATGAAGTTATACAATATTGAATTACTGATTGGCATAATGCCTGATATACCTGTTTAATTAGTTTTGGACGTGCAATGGTACGTAATTTTTTAAAAATATACATTAATTTACGGATCCTGACTACTAGATTTGCAATATGCTGTCTAAAAGATAATGTGTCGTTAATTAAGATACCAAGATATTTTATATGGGATGTGTTCTGTATTAAAGGGCAATCGCATTTATTGACTGAAGGATATTGGCATTGGTGTGCGTATAAGTTAGGATTTGTAAACCTATGACAAGGCTGGCGCATAGAAAAGTGAATATAATTGGTTTTGTCAGTATTCAGTGTTAGTAAATTGCAGCGAAGCCAGTTATTTACACCATTAAGACCAAGTTGAGCTACCTCATATAATTCTGACCTACTATTGGCGCTAAAAATCAAGGCCGTATCATCGGCGTAAGATATAATTTTACCACATTTTAAATTAAGGTTACATAAATCATTGATGTAAACGAGAAAAAGGGTAGGGCCGATTATACTTCCCTGGGGAATACCATAGCAGGTCATTTTCTGGTAATCACTTTTAATATTTCCTATTTTAACGCATTGAGATCGATTGTCTAAATAATCTGCAAACAGTTTTAACTGCGTTCCTCTAATACCCAATGCTTCCAACTTTTTTAGAAGCTTCGGAATTGAAACGGTATCGAACGCTTTTGCTAAATCAAGAAAAACAGCTAGAGTATGCTTTCCTTTGCCTAGGTCCTGAGTAATATAGTTAGTCAGGTTATGCACCGCATCTGCTGTTGACAACTTTGCCCGAAAACCAAATTGCGTAGGTGACAAATAGTTATTTTTTTCCAGGTAGTCAATAAGCCTTTTGTTAATAATTTTTTCTAATAGTTTTGATAAGGATGGAAGCACTGATATTGGTCTATAGTTATTTACTTGATCTTTACATCCAGATTTATAGACAGGAGTAACTACTGCTTTTTTTAAACATTGTGGAAAAATACCCTGCGAGAGGCAGATTTGAAAAATGCGTGTTAACGGTGGTATTAAAATATGCTTAAAAGTTTTGAGGATTTTGTTGCTAATGTTATCAAAGCCGACTGCACTGTCATCTTTCAAATTTGTAATTATTTGTAAAATTTCTTGTTGGTCGGTATCTAACATAACAAAACTATTCCTACTAGTGGTAGCGTTAAGTGACTGAGAAAATAAATTAAGAGGTTGGTGGCGTTCTGCAAGGTCTTTTCCCATATTAATAAAATAGTTATTTACATAATTGGCTGATATAAGCGGTGAAGGATGGGTTAATAGTAAACTCGAACACGATTCGTGCCTTTTTGAAGTGTAGGTAAAATTTTTAATATGTCTCCAAAGGCGTTTGCTATCCTTGCCTGCTTTGAGTAGTTCATTTTTTTCATAATTTGCTTTTAATTCTTTCAAGAGATTATTAACGAAATTCCTGTATCTCCTATAGATAACTAGCAATGTGTGGTTGTCGGGATATTTTTTTGTCCTCATATGAAGTTTATCCCTGTGTCTTATACATCGAATAATACCCGGGGTTATCCAAGGTTTGATATTTTGATATTGTTTATTTGAAGCAACTACAGACGTATTATGTAATATAGCTTGTTCAACATTATTAATTAAATACAACAAAGATGCATTCGCGTCCGTCGATTGAAAAACTGGGGCAAAGTCAAGCTTGCATAAATCGTGTTCGAGTTTCTTTATGTTTAACTTAGATTTTACTAGTTTATGATTCAGTTTAGGCAGCGATAAATTTAAGGTTAGTAAGACAGCGGAATGATCGGTAAGCGGCGTTTTTATGACAAGTGTTAGATATGTTGACCTAGATTTTATCATCATATGGTCGAGACAAGAACCACTCTGATGTGTTGGTAATGTATGGGTTGGGTAAAAACCATGGTACGAACATAAATTGAGATAATCTTGGGTTCCAGCATCATGTTTGTCGGGTATAATGTTTATGTTAATATCACCCGTAATTATTACATTTTTAAAAGATGTTAATGATTGAAGTATCTGATCTAAGTTTCCGTTGAAATTATCTATGTTTGTGACAGATGGGGATCTATATATTGCGACAATAACTGTATCTTGGTTAATATGTACCAACAAACAACTACAACCTTGAAGAGCTGGTTCCTCGAGGGTGACTTGCAAGGAGTCTCTAACATAAATAACTATTCCATCATTTTGGTTGTGATTATTTTGACTATAAAATAAGTTATAACCTGGCCTTGTTGGTAGGTTGCCGTTCCGTTTTGTTAACCAGCACTCGGTAAGTATAATTACATCACAAACAAAGTTAAGCCTATGGAGGAAAATATCAAAATTATCAATATTTTTATAAATACTACGTATATTTTGGGTGAGTACAGTTAATGAGTTTTGATAAGCGGTCAGATATTGTCTACACTCTTCGACTTCACATAAACATGAATTAGACATAGATAGATCATCTATTTCATTTATTATATTAATGTCCATAGTAAAGATCTAAATATAACAAGTAAGTGGCGCTCTAGGCGCCTTCATAATCAATAGTATTAATGTACCTAGTTTCGGCAGCTTTTTTAGCTGGACATTCGGTATCTCCGGTCCTATGGCCGCACGGTTTTTTAAATTTAAGGCAAGTGGCACATTTTGGTGGATCGGCTTTTTTTGTGCAGTCTTTGAGAGAATGGCCATCTTCGCCACAGTGGCCACAGGTAGAAGCTGTCGCCTTGCAAGTTTTAGCGGCATGGCCATATTGCTGGCAATTGTAGCATCTAGTTACAAGTGTGAAATCACGTACCGAGCAAAAATTCCAGTTAATAAAAAGTCTGTCCTGTATAATTAAGGCTTTGCGTATAGTAGCAGGTACTTCTAAAATATAGTTGCAGGTGTCTGCATCTCGTTTTCCTGATTTGTGGCTCAGTTTTATAGAGTTCAGGAAAGTATCTCTAGATATATTTAATGACGATTCTGCTACGTTTTGCTCGTAGATGCACTTATAGACGTCACTTTCAGTCATAGATGAAGGTACTCCTATGATTATAATACGCGGCTTGCGTTTATTGGTCTCATCAACAGTCAGGCCTGAGTTTGCTAACAGCACTGAATTTTTCAATTTATGAATGTCGTCTTTGGTCTCAGTGCTGACGATCACTCCTCCATTTCTTACTTTACGAAGACCACGTACTTTCAGTTTCATCTCCTCGG